CTTATGTTGGGTGAGAACAATGCCTTTTTCGTTCCGATGAATTTCAATCCCCAAAAATTATTTTAGTTCTCCAAAATCTTTCATTTCAAAGTTCAGTTTCAATTCTTTCTTAATATGTTCAATGCCTTTAATATCATTTCCAATAACAATGATGTCATCCACATAAATTAGAACGATAACAACACCTGATGATGATCTTTCAAGAAATAAAGAGTAATCAACCTTGCTTATTTGAAAATCAATACTATGAAGTAGACAACTGAATTTATCAAACCATGCCCGAGGATGTTGCATGAGTCCATAAATCGTCATTTTTAATTTGCAGACATGATGTGGTCGTAAGGGATCTTCAAATCATTTGGGTTGTTGCATGTACACTTCTTCTTTCAAGTCACTATGAAGGAATGCATTTTTCACATCAAGTTGATGGAGTTTCCAATTAAACATAGATGACAGAGCCAAGATGGATCGAATAGTGGGTGCCTTCACAACTTGACTGAAAGTTTTATCATAATCAATTAAAGCCCTTGGCCACTAGTCTGACTTTAACCTTAACTTTGTACACCCATTTTGAGCCCACTACATTTTTGCCTGAAGGCAATGGCAGTAATTCCCAAGTGTGATTCCTTTTAAGTGCATGAATCTCTTCTTTCATTAAGGCCAAACATCATGTGTCAGAAACAACTTCTTCATAGGTGGTTGGTTCTTGAAATTGAAATATTTGTGTTGCAAATGCTTGATGATTAGAAGACAATCTCTCTTCCAAGGTATAACTTTCAATGGGGTACTATTTTTTTAAGGCCTTGGAGATAGTCAGGAAAAGAAACGATTGCAGAGTAAATCTAGTAGTGACAAATGTCTAGGAGGTTGTTTGGAATGAGATGAACAACGTTGTGGTATAGGTGAAACTGTTAAGGGTCCTTTAGATAAATCATATTGCACTATGGAAGATGCCTCTAAGTTTGAAGTAGGAGAAGAAAAAGAAAGTGGTGAAACATCTGTCGAGGAAATAGGTTGTTGATTAGATCTGTTGGAGTGAGGCAATGACTGATGAGGGTGATGTTGCTGAGATGGTTCATCTGTAACTTCAGAGGAGATAGGACCTTGTGAGTGTACTTTTTCTTGAAATTGAGAAGGCATTGAAATAGGTGCAGACACATTATTTGACATGCTATTTATGTTAGTTTGGGAACACTAGTTCTTAAAGTAGAACCTAGTTTCATCAAATGTTATATGTCTTGCATTGAAAAAGCATCTCGACACTTTGTCATAACATCGGTAATATTTATGTTCGAAGCAATATCCAATAAACCCACACTCATAAGCCCTAGGAGAAAATTTATTTCTTGTAGAGAAATAAATGTGTGGGAAGCATACACATCCAAATACTAGGAGAAAAGAGTAATCTGGTTTACTACAAAAGAGCTTTTAGAAGAGAGATATGAATGACAATGTAGAGCTTGGTAATCTGTTAATGACAAATACAACAGTGGAAAAGGCTTTTGGCCAAAGGAATTGAGGTAGACCACTTGCATACATCATGGAAAGGCTACTCTCAACAATGTGACAGTGCTTGCGCTCAGCAACACTATTTTGTGTTGGAGTGTACGGACAATAATATTGATGATGAAGTCCCTACTGACTCAAATATTCTTTAAAAACATAAGAGGTAAATTCACCTCCACCATCAAATCTAAAAGCATTGAGTTTGCAAGCAAATTGATGCTCAACATAAGTGTGAAATTTAACAAAACAATTAAACACATCAGATTTTTGCTTCAAAAAATATATCCAAGTAAATCTAGTATAATCATCCACAAAAATAACATAAAATTTAGAACTTGATAAAGAAGTAACTGGGGCTAGACCCTAAACATCACTGTGAATTAAATCAAGAGGAGCATTAGACTTTCTATTAAAAGACTCAAGTGTAGACTTAGAGTGTTTTCCTAATTGACAAGAAGAACACAATGAACCAGGAGATAAATCATCAACAAAATTAGGTAGAGTCAACTCTCTTCCAAGACAACTGACAATAGTGAAACTAGGATGACCTAGGTGCTTATGCCACAAAATGGCTCATCCTCTAGCTTTGGAAATAATTGTAACAAGACCATAGAGTTGATCATTTTGAAGCACATAGAAATCTTCTCTCAGCACCCCCTCAGCAATCACCTTACCACTTTGTAGATCCTTCACAACACAACCATGAGGGGTAAACTCAAAATAACACTTAAAATCTTTAGCAAATTGAGATACATGTATGAATTGTTTATTTAGTGTGAGAACAAGTAAAATATTATGAATATTTAAGGAACCAAAGGTAGTAGAAATACTCACAGTTCCAATATGGGTTATAGGTAGAGCAGCACCATCTCCAGTGAATACCATATAAGAACCATGGTAAGGAATCATACCTCTAAGTTGAGAGTTGTCATCCAACATATGAGCAGTTGCACTGGAATCCATAACTCAAGAACAATCAGTTGGTGTAGTAGTTGATAGATTGTTGAAATCATGGGCTAACGCATTGTGTGACAATGTGACATTTTTTATGCCCCATCAGTTTTTAGCAATATGTCCATGTCGCTCACAATACTAACAAGTTACGCGACGTATCATGCCTATTCTTGACTGAAGAGGTTTATGGAAAGGTGGGTTGGCTTTAAGGATGACTTGCTGATTTGGGTTGCGACATCTACCTCCTCTACCTCCATAACAACCACGTCCTCGAACATATCCACCTTTTTGCCCTGATGATGTGTTCATCAAGGCTTGAGGATTACTTTAAACAACCGATGAATATACAAACCGAGCTTCATATGTAAGAAGAGAAGATCGAAGCTCTGAGAAGGACGGAAATGGTGGTTTGGTCATCAAGGAGGTCTCAAAGGACTTAAACTCTGGACCAATACCTTTGAGGGTATAGAGAACCATATCTTGATCACTTACTGGACTACCAATTGCTGCAAGGTGGTCACATATGGTTTTGAACTTGTTCAGATATTCAGTCATTGATTAAGACCCTTTTTGTAAATTGATCGATTTTGTTTTAAGTTTGAGAACATTAGCAAATGTTTCCCTTTGATATGTTCTGTAAAGCGTCTCCCACACTTCTTGAGATGTTGTCAGGTGCATCACTTCAATGAGAAAATCATCAGAGAGAGTAAAAAGTAACCAACTCAATAGTATTTTATCCTTAATTTGTCATTCTAGAAATTTGGAATCCTTTGACAGTTATGGTTTGGTGCATTGATTTTCTTTCGGTTCAACTAGATCCATCAAGATGACTTTCAAGATTCAAATCTTCAATACAAGTGAAAACTTGGGCCATCCATTTGAGATAGTTGTCTCTACTAAGTTTAATAGAGATAAAGCTTGAGAAGCTTAGCGAGGCCATAATAAAGAAAGTTACTTCACTTGAGATTTTGGAAATAAAGTCGTCACTTACTTCACTTCAGATTTTTAGAACAAAGTCTTCACCAATAGAACAAATTATGAGAGATATTAGGGAGTACTTCAGTACTACGGTTTTTGAAGCTAAGAAACAAAATAAGACCTACTTCGGTAGATAGAATTTCGAAGTTAAAAAAATACGCCACAAGAACAGAGGTTACTTCGGTATATTAGTTACCAATTTTTGTTTTTATTTTTACGATTTTTTTTTTTTACAAGGGTACAAACACCGACCCTTTCTCAAAACACCAACAAGCACTTTCGTTTTGACAAACACCAACGAGACCTTTTGCAGGATTCATGCCCTAATGAAGAAAAACTTTTGCAAGAATAAAGCATTAGAGAGAACAAACTTTTGGGAAGAAGAGAAAAATGATAATCTCAATAGATTGAACAGGGCTATGGCAAAAAGAACTTAGGTTGTAGAGAGAGAATCAAACAATAAAGAGGACACACTTTTGGGAAGGAGAGAGAGATGATAATATCAATAGATTGAACAGATGAGGAATAAAGAAAAGAGAGAAGAGGAACTAAAAGAGAGATGATAATCGCAATAGATTGAACAGAAAAATAAAAAAAAGAGAGAAGATGAATGATGCACTTACATTTGTAGAGAGAAAATCAAACAATAGAGAGGACAAACTTTTGAGAAAGAAAGAGAGATGATAATCTCAATAGATTGAACAGAGATGAATAAAAAAAAGAAAAAAAATGCCTTTACAGAGAGACCTTCGTACACAAAACAAAAACAGAGAGGAAGAATGCACTTTCAGGGAGGAATAAAGAAAATAGAGACCTTCATCTTTAATACAGAGGCCTTCATCTTCAAATAAAGAAGAGAAAGGATATACTTAGAGATGGTGATGGTGAAGCTCTAATACCATGTAAAACTTATAAAATTCTAGAAAGAAAAAGTGAAGAGAACCATGAATCATTCATTCCCCGCAATAATTAGTTTTACACATTAATATATATATGTATAGTGAACAAAAATACCCTTGAGGGTAAAGAATAAAGAAATACCCTATACAATACTGTAAAAAACAATCTCATCCTTAACAAATCACGCACTTCCAACTACCCACTTTAAAATCTAACAAATAAAAACAATTGTGACGTTGTACTAAAAGGAAATGAACGATTTATACATTTTTTCCTTGCACCAATGCACTCCCTTTCCAAATGTAAGGCACATTCCTAAAGTGTGGAACGCGCATGATTCCTACGCTTGTATGGTTGAGACAGAGAGACAGATTGGTAGACTCGGATGTATTGAATTGCAAAATTTTGATAATGTAATAAAGTTGTTAACCATTTGGGGAGATAGAGAGAGAGAGAGAGAGATAGAGAGATTGATTGAATCTGATGTATTGAATTGAAAATTTTTTATAATGTAATAAAGTTGTAAGCCAGTTGGGCGGAGAGAGAGGGAGAAGCAATCCTCTTCACGTAATTCACAAAAACTATTACTGAGGCAAAATAATATAAACCATAGAGAAAATTTCACTGAGGCAACAGGATCACAAATTATATAGACTCATAAGACCTGATGAAATGCCTCTCAGATTATGGTAAGAAGATAACCGACAGCCCAACTTCAACCCAAAATGTTTTTATACAGATCTTCAAGCATTCTTCTTATCTTTATGTGAAAAAGTTCTATGAGGAAATTATTTTATGAGGCAAAATTATCACATACCATAGGACCCACAGAACCTGATATCACAACTTTCTTAAATCAGAGGAAGGACAACCATATCCAAACCTCAGTCTAAACTCATCTCTCCTGGGCCACTATCTAATTATGTTCCAGCGCAGAAGTTCAAACAACCCATCCTTCAAATGATCAAAACCAAACACCCCAAAATTTACAGACAATTACATAGTTTTGACAGGCTTTCTGCTGCATCTCTCCAAATTAATACCACTCAAGATCACCATTCTGAAACCTTAAATCCAGTTCATGCACTCTTCATTCTCTTTGAAGAAGGAGACTGAAACAGCTTTCGAATTGAAGCAACGGGATCAACCTGCAATCAGTGATCATGAACCCAGAGGCTTTATTCAATACAGACAGATTTTTGGTTCAGTGCCAACTAATAAATTTCCATCCAGCTTAAATTTCTTGAGATCATTTTCGAAAAGTTTCCAAAATAACCTGTAGGGAATTTCTGGAGCAAATCTCAAGAAAAGACAATTAACAGAACTGAAAATTAAATTGGAAACAAAATAAAATATGCTTTTCACAATATTTTTATGAAGCTTTCTATAAATTTATAATTTTCTATAGAATATTTTATTACATTCACTAATGTATTTCCTCTCATGAACTCACACTCATATATAACCAAAAAAGAGTTTTCCGAAAACCAAGCATAAAGAAGAAGGGGAAAAACCCAAAAACAAAGGATAATATCAACTTTAAAAAACTCTAAATACTATCAAAAGAACTTCAAGTAGTGAAAATATTTAATCACTACAGCCAGCCTACCTCATATCTCAAAGAAGTTGAGGCCGGGCTCATTGGTGAATCATGAGTAGCGGCTTCTTCCGATTTGAGCAAAGCTGAAAGAGTTTGTTGCCACCCTGCTAGACCTGTGTCTGAGTTTCCTGATGAAGTGATCCAGGGACAGTAATACCTATGATGCTTGATGGGATCGAATTCCTTGTTGGTCCCTAAATGGCAATGCAAGTTAGACAAAAAGCCAACTACTCGATATCAATTACTGAACGAACATATATACAATAGCATTCTATTGAATCCAAATATAATCATAAACAAGCAAGTCAGATTCATGATTTGAGCAGTAAGTACTAATCTATTTTCATTTCACAGAACCAATTCATGGTTTTCATTTGAAATTCAGAAATGAGGTCTCCATTGAGCTTTACAGTAGTAAAAGACTGTGAATGTGATGAAGTAGAAAACAATCAGAAATACATAGAACTCCAGATTAAAGAGCATAAGTTAAAAAATTATCTTGAAAACAGTAACAAAAACTGTCAAATCAGATGCAACAAGGTACACAACACTATATCAAAAACTGATGCAAACAAGCAAGAAATTAAAGGTACAACAGGCTTCATATCAGCCAGTAATTTAAAGACTAATCAAAAGGAAATAAAGAATTCATGCCCTCAGTAGCTTGATCTGTCAGAAAGGTACTTGATGTTGTAGTTGATGTTAACGACTTATAGCAAATCCAACCTGGTGTCAAAAATTGGAAGTTGGAAGAAATCATGTTTGGTTTCCTAGAGATAATTTGGTTATTTTAAACATTTCCAGTCATTTTCTAGACGCACAAAGAAATGCCCAAACTCTACAAAACACCCATGAAATGCAGTCAGTTCCTTAGGCTCCTCCGTGTAACACCAAGAACCCCAAAATACACATGATAAAAACATGAGAAAGTACGCAATGAAGGTGGAGAAGCACATCCTTATCCTCAGAACTCACACAACACCAAGTAGGGGACTTCAGAACGCATACAACACCAAGTAGACCACCTGTTCTTAAGAAGTTCACCAATCACCTGTTCTTAAGAAGTTCACCAATCAAGGCATTATTTGCTCCATCGCTCCCTCCCAATCACATGTTCTTAAGAAGTTCACCAATCAAGGCACTATTTCCTCCCTCCCTCCCTCGAGAGAAGAGGGACTTGAATATTGCATCCTCTTGTATTGGAAATTTGGACTATTGGTTTTATGCGTTTATTTTGTATTTCATCTTGTCTAGACTCTGATTTTTATTTGTGTATCATGATCGTGTGTCACTTTAGAGTATGCTATACTTAGATTGGAGAGTTGGAGGCTATAACACCATGGACTTGTTTATGTTATTTACTTTTTTCACTAAATTTCCAATGATTTGAAGTTTGAATGTACTTTGACGTTCATGCGTATGTATTTGTATGGAAAGAGTTATTTAGAATACATACAAATGCAAAAAATATACATATATGTACTTTGAACAGCACCTATATGCAATTTTTCTCACCTCAGGGAGCCTAAGGTTCTGGCCACCAAGAGGATGGGTACTGGGTGCCAGGCCAGCCACCTAGGGGCTACCTAGTGTTTTTGAAACATCGATTGAGGTTATTCAAAGTGAATACCAAAACTTATTGGTGTCAAAGCAGCAAGTTTTCAAAGTTTGATGCTTTAACTAGTTGTTGAAACCCCAAACTCTTATAGAGAGGACAGCACCACCATCTAGAGCATTTAGATCAAACTCAGGAGCTTCAAAAAGGGAATCCAAGGACTCTGGAGTACAAGAGGTTTTACAAAACCAGGATAGAATGATCTTAAAGTGTTAAGTGAGATTTGTTGGTGAGGATTCTCAACGGAAGCAGGCATATGCTGACTACAGTTGGTTATTAGGATCAGGACTGAGGTCAGATCCCAGATCAGCATGGGGACCACAGGATTGAGAGATGCACGACGATCCATGGAATAGAGATCGAGATTCGAACACTGTGAGATAAAGGGATCATCATCCCAATATGAAGGGAGAGTGATCCAAATTTGTCCAGGTTTGAATGATGAAGTATATGGGATAAAGGTTCATCTTAGAATCTCCCCAAGTAGAATACTCTAGTTCGGGAACAAAGTTGAACGTTATGATTCCTGTTTTTCTTCTGAATTGAAAAACCAAAGTATCATCAAATACAAAGAATGATGTTTTTAAGGGTTTCTTAAACTGAAAACCCAAAATGAGGATTCCAATTTCAGTCCTAAGGCATGAAAGAAGCTCTAGTATTTGATAGAAATGTTATGTCCTTGTCCTTCATTTGGGTCTTGTCACTTAAATGCAATTGGACATGCAACAGGTCAAATAGTCTCGGGATTCAGAGGAAAAATAAGGGTCCAAAGGAAAAAGAGGAGTCAACAGCAAAGGTCTTTGTAATGGTAGAAATGGTCAATGAGAGCATTAGAGACGAAGATTAATTTTAAAAGCTTCTAGAGCTTCTTGTGAGTGAAATACAAAGGATTTTAACCGAGGACGTGGCACAACTTTAGCTACTCTCCTTCATCTATGGGTTCCATAATGTAATATGGTTCAAAGTTCAAAGTTCAAAGTTCAAACCCTGGTTATCGAGACTCTTTCTCAACTAGTTGATTTCTATACCGAAGGCCAAGTCAAATTTCAGAATTCTTAGAGATATATCCTCTTGCACAGAGAGAGAGAGAGAGAGAGAGAGAGAGAATCATAATCAAGAACGGACAAGGGGAATGAGAGGCATTGTCTATCATTCCTTTAATTCAGATCTGTTCTGATATTTGAAAGAGCATTTTAAGATTTCATAATGCTTGAAATGATGGTTAGAATTAATCTACCTGATCCAAGAGCTGCCACAGAATCACTAGTAACTTTATTTTCACAAGACACACCATTAAAGGCAATCAAAGGTGTAGATGTCACCAAACAAGTAGGTATTTTGGACAAAGCAGGCTGGCCATCTTCAATGCTACTCTTATGCTGTTTTTCATTGTTCGCAGGAATAATTTCATCCGACTGGTGGCAGCCATTACTCGATGGCTTCGGTAATTCGTTGTCAATCTCAGCACCCTTTGTAGAGGAAGTTGGCAATCCATTGGCAAAATTGCGTTCACCAACTTCTAAGCCCAAGTCATTAGCCCTGGAACCTTCAAAGATCACACCACTTTCAAATGAATCTTGAGGCCTGTTTTCTACACTCTCTGTTGAATTCTCTATCACAGTATGGCATGCACCAATTGCATTCACAGATGACTGTCGCTGCTTCTTGGAAGATTCTCCTTCAGAAGAAAATGTTTTGTCCATTGGGGTGTCATTTACTTCACTGAATTTCTCATCTAAGGATATAGGATCAAGATGGTTTGTAGGTAGAGAGGCCTCCTCACTTCTCCTCCGCTTAGACATTCCTCCAGTTGCAACTCTTTCTCCTTGTTGTCCATGAACATAATGTTGATCATGTTTGTTTCGACACTGTGCAGAATTAATATCATGTGCAGTAGATTGCATATAGTCTTGTTGCTCTTGTGGCAAAGGTAACAATGCCCAGTTTCGTCTCTCACTATTTGAACCTGCTAAGAGATGTCTAGTCATGATTGGCAGAGAAACTGTCACATGAAATTTTTGTTTTGTGGGTAGAGGTCCACCTGCTATACTAAGGTTTAAACTTGGATTTCTATCGTTTTGTTTTGTTGATATTTCCTTGGCACTGTCATCATGAAAGATTTCACAATTAGCAATTCGGTGCTCATTACTCGCACCCTCAACCCCTGATGCATTTGAAATGTAACAAGCAATAGTTGAACAACGAGAGTCAATACCATGAACTTCAACTTGTTCAATCAAGTTAAAGGACTGCAAGGGTTGTGGTACTGTAGAAAATGTCCATAATGCTATGCTGGCTCCACAGAGCTTGCAATCCAACACCACAGAAGCTGGATCGTACTCTTTTTCCTTGAAGGAGGTATTACTTTCTTTTAATACAGCAGCCTCATCATCTCCGCTCTTTGAGTTTAACAAAATGGTAGGAGTTTGTACCTGAAGAAGGCATTGTGAACGCTGTGAAGGGGATGGACATTTTGAAGGCAGAGATGGATGATCCTCACATTCAATTACATAAGGAAGCACACGTGGCTCCCATCCGCATAAACTGATAATCTTCTGTGCCTGCACATGGTTCATAACAATTATTGGAAACAGGTCATAATACAAATCAAAAAGAGATAAGTGGTCACCTAATGGTAGGTATCCTAACGTGCTCAGTTAAAACTCCATACAAAATTATGTTGAAGAACAACCACACATACAGCTCTGAGTAGTGGATAAGTGTAATAAACAAATAAAAATGAAAAAAAGCAGTGAGTATGTGAACCTTGTAATATAAGTCAGCAGAAGCAGCTTCAGAATGATCCACAAAATCCACTCCCCCAGGAGCAGTGCTACCATATTCAGATGTTGATTTCTCAAGTGGAGGAGATTGTGAAAGAAAAATATCTAATTGGGGGTCCCGCATACAATCAATGGCAGAAGATGAAACTATAGGCAGAGAAGAAAGATGTGCAAGTGCATCAAAACGTTTTCTGTAACTTTTTATTAAAGTTGGAACTGGCACTCGAGGAAAGTGTGCCAAACTCTCCTCACATATATTGTCTTTCCATGGGCATAGGGGTTTATGTCCATGATCCAGCTTCAAGCTAAAAACTGCAGCAGCCTTCTCATCTGATACCAAAAAACAACCACTTTAATTGTAAAACATTCCCAGTACTACTGATAACTAATATCATTAGTGTGGCCATGATAACCAGTATAACATGATAACTGTACCTTGCTGTGGTGTCCAGGATGAAGGAGTACAGAAAAGAAGGCGAGCACCACAAGCTTCACAAGCTATAGTGTCCCGCTCAACATTTATCCAGCCTCTTCGAGCACAGTTTACAGGATTAACTATCTGATTGAAAAGGACCAATTAGAGAATGGAGATATTAACTTTATAAATAAAAACACAAGCTTTTTATTAAAAAAGATAATGTCACCTCAGATCAGTTCATAGCAGATATACTTAATTTACCCAAAGCAAATTAAGACAAGAGTAAGGTACTGACATGTGATGGTATGATGGCAGAACATCATTTATCAAGTTATACACCCAAAGCAATTGGGTTCTACATAAATGGAATTTTCAAAGGGAAAAAAAGAGAGTTATGTCACTTGGTACAATATACTAGGTTTCACACTTCATGCAAGAATAGTTGATGGTGAGACTCTACAAAGAAATTTCTTCATGGTTGAATGTACACTCACTTTTAAAAACAAGAGAAAGAAGCCCTGGAGCATCCATGCAAAACTAAAGAATGGTAAAGAGAATTTGGTCTTCTATGTATTTCTATAAGTTAAGAGCATAAGAATGATCCTCGCAAGGGGTTCGACAGCTGGCTTGAATGGATAGAGTGTGGATAATCAGAGAATGAGAACCCAGTTTAAAATCTCCTCTGCTGTCCTAACTGAAAAAGAATGATCATTGGAAAAGGTTTTGCACAGATTGAACGGTTACTGTTACATGGCTACGAATACAAAATACCAAGGGCTAAAAAAACGGATCAGTGACCCAGATTGGCAAGCCCAAAAACCGTGTCAGATCAGGGGATCGGCCATCCAAATCGAAGAATTGGCCGGATTGGCTAGTTTCATCCTCAAAAAAATTTCAAAAAAACACTATAATTTCTCAAAAATCTAGTTCTGTAGGTTTTTAAAAGAAATAGTGGCAATTGCATCATGGTTTTTCATTATTGTGTCAAAACTATGTAAATACTAAAAACTTGTCTCATGTTGAGTGTTTTGTCTATTAAATTCATTTTATAATTAAAATAAAGTTTAAAATGTAACATGACAATAAAATGAATCTCTCTAACTCAATTTATTTATTTTATTATAGTAGAGTGAGAGAGGGAAAATTCTACTAAAATTATTAATGAAACAAACTTCGTAGAGAGAGAGAAAGAGAGAGGTTGTTGGTAGAGAGAGAGAAACAGGTTGTTGGTAGAGAGAGAGAGA